TCGCGATTGTTCTGGCCGTCTCGCTAGGGACATTCTCGACAGTATGAAAATCGGTGGCACCCCTCACACAGATCGTGACGTCAGGGTCCAAAAACACATTGGAACTTCAACGTTGTAACATAAAACCTTCAAAAACACATTGAAATTTCAATGATTTTGACCCCGATTCTCAGAGAATGGCGGTTTCGCCTGAGACATCCTCCCAAAATCGAGCCCCGACGTACCTTCTGGTACCCCAGACCCTGCCTCGGAGCCTCCTGGGGGCCTCCTGGAACCTACTGGGGCCTCCTGGGGCTTTCTGTATCTTCTGGCACCCCAGACTCCGCCTCGGAGCCTCCTGGGGGCCTCCTGGAACCTCCTGGGGCCTCCTGGGGCCTCCTGAGGCCGCCTGCGGCCTCCTGGGGCCTCAGAACTACATGCACACACAGAGACACAAATCACACCCAACCCATCTCACGCTAGACAAATATACAACACACACACACACCAACACCAACACCAACACCAACACCAACACCAACAACAACAACAACAACAACAACAACAACAACTACAACGCACAGAAAACACGCACAACACAGAGCACACATCACACACACGCACACACACTCAACACTCACAATCCTGGGGCCTCCTGGAGCCTCTTCTGGTATCCAAGTCGGGCCTCCTGAGGCTTCTTGGGGGGCCCCTGGTACACACATCGCAAGGTGTGGCAACCCCACTTGCGCTCGAGTGCGACCTGATTTTTGTTGTATGAGCCTGGTCACACACGTGCCACTTGTATATATACACAAATATATGTGTATACATCTGTATATATATACATATACACATACATACATATGTATGTGGAAAGAGAGAGAGAGAGAGAGAGAGAAGGAGAGAGAAACAAACAGAAAATAACACAGAAAGAGTGAGAGAGACAGAGGGAACAGACAGACAGCGTGCCGCGCCAGTCCGGCCTGGAGGCGGCTTTCTTCCTCTTCTTGGAGGGCGAGCGCTTTCGCCTGGGTGCCGTGCAGCCGGGGCGCGTGGCGCACGCGGGCAGGGGGCCCGCCGGGCCTGAGCCAGGCCTGAGCTGGATCGCACCGAGAAATCGGATCTGGGTCGAGAACTCCCCATCGCTGGCTTGGGCGACCCAACTGGGGACCCAGCTGGAAGGGGGTGGTGCAATAGATTTGGGGCAAGTGCATTGCAGACGTGCTGCACCTGAGAAATGTACGGCGTTGTATTGCAAGCAGTGCATTGCACGCGAAAAACCAGCAATACATCTGCGCCCCGGAATGTAACGCACGCCCCAAAGGTATTGCAACACCACAAATCTATTGCACCAAACCTGTTGCACCACTCCCTTGTCGCTAGACCCCGTTTGGGTGAAACCGTGCATATGTCAGTTTCGTGCGTGTTGTCTGTCGCAAGATGATCCGAGATGCTCTTCTAGGGTCCGTCGCCGAGAAGAAATGCACACGTCCGAGCGATGCCAAGGAAACGGATCAGACCGCTAGCGGATCGCCCCAACATCATCGAAAGCATCACCATCACCATCCTCATCATCATCATCATCATCATCAGCATCATCATCATCATCATCATCATCATCATCATCATCATCATCATCATCATCATCCAGCATCATCATCACCACCATCAGCATCAGCATCAACATCACCGTCACCATCATCATCATCAGCATCATCATCAGCAGCAGCAGCATCATCAGAAACATCATCATCATCATCATCATCATCATCATCATCATCATCAGCATCATCAGCATCATCATCATCATCCGTAATCGTCTTCAACCTTGAACCTTTGACTCTCCCTCCTCGTTAGCAACATGCCCCGCGCCCTCCTCGTCATCATCGTCATCATCAGCAGCATCATCATCATCACCATCAGCATCACCATCATCATCATCACCATCATCAGCAGCAGCATCTTCGAAAGCATCACCATCACTAGTATCAGCATCACCATCAACATCAGCATCAACATCATCATCACCATCACCATCACCATCAATCATCATCCTCATCATCATCATCATCATCATCATCACCAGTAGCATCATCATCATCATCAGCAGCAGCATCATCATCCTCATCATCATCATCGTCATCATCCGCGATCGCCATCACCATCATCATCATCATCATCGCGATCAGCATCGGCAGCATCATCACCACCACCAGCATCACCATCATCATCAACATCATCATCAGTATCAGCATCGTCAGCATCGTAATCAGATTCATCATCATCATCAGTATCATCATCGTCAGCATCATCATCATCATCATCATCATCATCATCATCATCATCATCATCATCAGTATCATCATCACCCCTCACCTCTCACCCCTCAACTCTCGCCCCTCACCTCTTACCACTCCTCCTCCTCCTCCTCCTCATTCCTACGCCGCCTCCTCCAACCTCCTTCTCCTCCTCATCCTCCTTCTCATCCTCCTCCTCATCCTCACCCCCCATCCTCCTCCTCCTCCTCGTCCTCCTCCTCCGCCTTCTCTACCTCCCAACATTACCCCATTCTGCTCCCTCCCGCCCTCCCTTCCTCCTCCTGCTCCTCCTCCCCACTCTCTCCCTTGTGACTCACAGCTCCCTGTCGCACCCCAGGCCAGGCGTTTCGCATAAGACGTCCTCATTATCTGTGATCTGCAGAAGTTTGACGGATGGAGCGTGGGCCGTTTTCGAAACGTAGCTCTGGCCTTAGTGCCGCGTACACTCGTCTTAAACATGTTACCAGAGCTTCACAGATGGAGGGCAGCTCCGTGCACGAGTGTCACGGATGGGGGACGGGCGGTTTTCAGAAGGTGGCTCTCGCCTTGGCGCTAAGCAAATTCGTCTGAACTGTTTTGACCAGAGAGCTTCACGGATAGAGGACGGGCCGTCTTCACAGTGTGGCTCTCGCCTTAGCGCCTCGCACACTCGTCTTAAACAGCTTACAAGAGTTTCACGGATGGAGGGCGGTTGCTTTAAGAAAACGTGGCTCTCGCTTCAGCACAGCGTACACTCATCTTAGACATGAGCTAGAGCTTCACGGATGGAGGGCGGGCGGTTTCCAAAACGTGGCTCTGGCCTGAGCGCGGAGCACGCTTGTTTTTTTTTTTTTTTTTTTTTTTTAAAAAAAAAAAAAAAAAAAAAAAAAAAAAAAAAAAAAAAAAAAAAAAAAAAAAAAAAAAAAGTTCCACGGATGGAGGGCGGGCCGATATCAAAACGTGGATCTAGCCTTCGTGCCGCGCACACTGATCTTAAACAACTTACAAGAGCTTCACGGATAGAGGGAGGCACCTTTTCAAAATGTGGCTCCGCACATTCGTCTTAAGAGGTTACAGCAGCTTCTGGGGTTCGTATGGCTGACGTTCTAGAAACTGCGTTTTAGAACGATGTAGGACTGCTGTGAGGGCAGAACAGGCACATTGATTCGCGGTGTTGCAGTCCCAGGAAACGCGTTCTGGCACGAGTCAGGATCGCCAGAACGCAACGTTGAGTTGCGGCGCCGAGGTCCAAAAACGGTGTTCTGGCACGGCCCGGGATGTTCAGACGGTTGCCTCCCACCGGGATACTTCCGACAGTGAATGCAAGTTCTTGTAGAGACCCACTTGTGAGGAGGGAGCGTGGAGGCAGGGCTTACTGCAACATCGTTGACGAGTCTGGGGGTTACACTGGCCCTTCTCCTCCACCCCTTCCCCCCCCCCTCCCCCCTGGGCGGCGATCGGGCGCAGGCCCGACGCCGAGCCCCCGGCGCGGGCTTCCTCGAAGACTCCGACCGTTTCCTGCCGCGCCGCGGCCCCGCACCGCTCCCGACCCCCTCCCCCCCGCCGGCGTGGCCCTGGCCCCGCTGGCCGGCCTCGGGCCCTCGGGTCCCGGCGTGCCTCCACCTGTTCGAGCCGGGCGTCCTCGCCCGGCTTCGGGCCCCTTATAAGGCCCTCACACAGCGGCCCGGCTCGGAAAGCACCGCAGGGACAGAGGGGTCCGAGTTCCGGTCGCGATGTCTGAGGATGCTCCAGCTTTTTCACGCCGTCGAACTTCAGAGGAGATCCGTCCATTTGGCCTTGGCCCCACTGGCCGACTTTCGGGGATCGATGCTTCATTCATGCCCTGGCTCACGCCCAAGCCCGAGGAGGGGCCAGGATTACGGCATTACAGGCCCACACCAACCGAACCCCATGAGTAGAAGAAGAAGAAGAAGAAAAAACGCCATAAACATAAACCGTTGGCGCTCCGCACAGATTCCCTGGATCTGCGCTGGAACCCCCGGCGGCGCCTCCGGCGCCGCCCCTGGCGCGCTCCGCGCGCCAAGGAGAGGGGTCCAGCGCAGATCCGAGAAATCCGCGCGGAGCGCCAAAAGTTCATCACATGAAAACCCACTGAGTATGGTTTAACCGACCCCCATCCCCAGCGGCCTGGCCCGGGCCACACTGGCCGATTTTTACTCCCCTAGATGGGGATATAGAGGCCGCTCCCTCCGGGTTTCGAGGGGTGCATCCCCAACTGGGGGGGGTAATGTGGTGGGGTCTCGAAGTGAATGGGGGTGGGGATGGGGATCGGTGAAACGATGCCGACACAGCGCACGAGGCGTCCACGGAGCACCCGCGGGCGCCACCCAGGCGGAAGCAGGCGGCTCCCAGCCAACGCACGCTGCGCCGGCGCCAGGGCCCACGGGCGCCCAGCGGGCGAAACGCCAGGCTCCCGTCGAGCTGCTCGTCAAGAGGAGCGAGAGCCCCTGCGGGCAAGCACCGCCTGGTAGCACAAGTCACTCGGACGAGAAAGAGTGGTCCGCGGGCGAGGACGGGGAGGGGCGAACAGGAGGAAGCGGAGAAGGAGGAGAGGAGGGGCGAAGAGGAGGACGTGGAATGGAGCAGGATGAAGATGGTACGGCAAAGGAGAGGAGGGAACGAGGAGAAGGTTAGGAAGAAAAAGAGCGTTCTTTTAGCTACGGGACTCGATTGGCACTGTGCGACAGTACACGCGCCGCTGCTCTCCTCATCCACGCGAGGGCCACGGGCAGCAAGCACAGCAGCAGACACAGCAGGAGGCATGGACGCTCATACAGGGCGGGTTTTAATACATAGTATGTTTGAAAAATATAATATGTTTCATACACAACCAATGTATGACTAAATCTATGCATGAACTCATCGTTGTTCTTGATGCTAAATCCCTGCATTTGCAACACATGATCCGCACGCGGAGCATGCATTAAAAACGGCACGGTATGCGTCTTCTTCTCAACCCCGAGGGCTGCCGAGTTCTGTGGAGGCTCCCCGGGGCCCCACGAGTGCCGAGGGCCGAAAACGGCACAAAGAAAGTTCCCGTCGCGCTCGTCGGGAGCCGCCAAGAGGGGGGTGTCCAAGAGGGGGGGGTGCAAATCATGACCGGCGGCATGTGCGCGGCCCAACGGGGGGGCCAGGGACGTAATGAAACAAGAAGAGGCGCCATGAAATCTGGGGAAATATCACGGCCCCCGCCATGATATCCACCCCCCCCTAGTCATTACCCCCCTCTTTTCCGCCCCCGAGCTCGCTCCGCGGCGCGAGGGTGCCCGGGGAGGACGCGCACTCGGCCCCGGCCAGGAGAACACATCCTCCGAGAGCATGAGGCCCTGCGCCGGCCAAGCCACGCAGGAAGAGCCAGGGGTACCCTCCCCCCGGGATGCACGAGAGCAGCCCACGGGCACGAGGAGCAGCAGGGCACCTCCCCGAACCGACCTCGCTCGTGTACCTCGGCCCGACTGCCTCGGGCGCTGCCGCCGTTCCAGATGGCTCCAGGCCGCTCCGAGATCGCTCCGGGTGCGCTCTGGAACCCCCTGCCCCAGCCCTGGCCCCACCCGCATGTGTGGCCCGCTGTGGCAGGCAGGCACCGCCCCCAGGGGCGCCCAGAACCGAACCGACGGGTCGGATCGGCGATCGACGTGACTCGGATCGACGGGAGTCGGCAGCCGAGTCGGGGAGAGCCGAATCGGCAGACGTCGGCTGGCCCTCGGGCCTCCACTGGGAAATCGGCTCCCGAATCGGAATCCGAAATCGAATCGAATCGGACTCGGAATCGAATCGGAATCGAAATTGCATCGAGCCGAGACGGAGTCGAAAATGAGCCCTGGCGCCCCTGGGCCTCCCAAGGGGCGGGCCGCCCAAGGGGGCGTGCCACGAGGGCAGGGAGGGGCCCAGACTGATTGTGCTGCTCGCAAGACTGGGGGGCCACATGCGAGCCGTACCTACCCCCCACGAGTTCTGAGGGGGAGGGCGGGGTCCACTCCGCTCGGAAGCTCCCCCGAGCGAAGTGAACCCCACCCTCCCCCTCAGAAATCGTGGGGGGCAGGGGCAGGGTTCGCATGTGGCCCCCAAAACACGAATCACATCGCGGCGGCAACGGGGCCGACGCCCCGCGCCGGAGTCGGCGCGAACTCGGGCCAGGATCGGACCATGTGGGATCATGTTTGTCTTAGGTCGGGCCTGTCCCCCCACAGGCGGATTGCAGGCGAAAAATGCAAGAACATACACAAAAAAGTACTTCCAAGATGCTCAAAAATAGTCAAAAAATCGTCCCCAGACCAAGGTTTTACAAATTTTGCAGAGTCCCCCTGTAGAGGGACAGGCCCGACTTAATGTGTGTCGGCGTCGCCGTCGAGGCCGCCAGACGGCAGCCAGCGACCCAGAGGAGAAGCAACTGTGCCTTTAACGCCCCTGCCCAGTGTGCTGTCGCTTGGCCACGGTACTGTGGCCACCTGGACGCCTCGCGGGGGCGGGGCGCCCCTCGTGCCAGCACCTAATCCCGAGCAGTTTTTCCCGGCTCCCAGCTCCCCGCGCTGGTGGCGGCTGTGTCACTCCTGCTTGGGAGGCCTGTCTCGCGGGTCAGGCTTTGCCCATGCAGGCCAGACAGTGACTACCGACCAGACTACCCCAACCCGACCCGAAGACTCGAATTTCGGGTTAGGAAGGGGGGGCACGGGCTTCAGATGTGTTTCTTCAACGTTCCCCGACCCCCACCCCCACTGGAAATGGAGGGCAAATAGAGGCTTTCGGGCTGGGTTGGGTTGGTTTGGTGGGTCGTGAGACAGGGAATCGATTCGCGCCGGATCGGATCGGATCGAGATCTGAATCGAAATGTGGCGATCCGAGCGAATCGAATCGGACCGCGAGAACCACTGACGGGTCCGTCGACGGCCAAATTGTGGGGACCTCTCTGGTGAAGCGCCCGCTTCGGCCTGGCAGACTGGCCTCCTCTCAACGTCTCAAGGCCCCATGGGCACCGCGATGTTGCAGACATGGCAGCTGGGCGTTCAGATCCGCTCGTACTGAGTCACTCGGAGCCGGTGCGACTCTGATACACTCATGTAGAAGACCTTGTCAGAACAGAGGTGCCCATATGGCCGATTCCGGAAACCCTGAACACAAAAATGTTTTCATCTCGTGGATGCGCAATTTTTACTTCCGCGCCCTCCCGGAGGCCCTCCCGCCAGCTTCGGCTGGCGGAGGCGGCCCCGTTTTACGTCCGCCGACCTTCCGTCGCCTTCCGCCGCAGAAGAGATGACAACTCCTTCTATCCTCGAAGGCAAGGCCCTTTTTGGAACGCCCCGTATGGGGATCTCAGCGTCGAATAAATGCTGAACATAGTTCTGTGACAGAGGAATTCTGTCGACTGAGGGCTCCTGCAGGGCATCCTCAGATCTTCGAGGCCTGGAAGGACGCCTGTGCAGGCCCCATGCCGCACCGCCCCAGCAGCAGCCCTCGCCACACCAGGGGAGGTGGGTGGTGCCATGGAGTGAAGAGTCCTGGCAGAGAAGGCAGCGCGAGGTCAAGTCGGCGGCGAGCGAGGGGGGGAAATGAGAAGGAAAAGGTCTTCTCAGAAGGCGGCGGGACTTCTCAGAAGCCCACGCGCCAACTTCTGAGACGTTTATGCTGTCTTCGGGAAACTTCTCAGAAGGCCTGGGGACTTCTTAACCTTCTGAGAAGGCCTTCTCCTTCTCACTTCCCCCCCTCGCTCGCCGCCGCGAGAAGGCAGCGCGAGGTCAAGAATGCAATCAGCGAACCAGGGTGCACAGGAGACCGCCCACCACCGCCGCCACCCCTCGAGGCCGCCGTCCTCTTCTTCGCCTTGGCACTGGAATCGGAAGCGCTAGAGTCCGAGACCTTCTTGGCTGGCTTCCTGGCAGGGGAGGGGGCACTGGCAGCGAGACATGCCACACGTCGCGACTTCGAGCCGGGGTCGGCCTCGGGCTCGGGCACACGCTGACGTGGACCACGGCTTCGTGGACCTGGCGCGTCAGCGCTGGACCCGCGGATCGGCGCCTGATCCAGGAGGGCACCCCCCGCATCGTGAAGCCAGCGCCGCCTCGTCTGGCGCCAGAGCGCGCCGATTCTGCACGGAAACGGGACCCGTCGCGAGTCCGCGCGCCTCGTTCCGTCGGCGGTGGCCAAACCTCCCTTTAGTAAACCTCCCCTGAGTGAAAACGGCCTGGGGCCGAAACCGACGGAGCTGGACCCGCAAAAATGACGGCCCCGACGCCCTCTCGCAAACCGAAAACGGACAATTCCTCAATCGACGTGTCAGGGTAGGAGGTCTGTCCACCCCCGATTCCGTCTCTGCGCTGCCTCGGAGCGGGCGCCCTGAGAGCAGCGGCGCACAGCGGTGTGGAGCGTCGGTCGGCCCGCTCGGGGCCTCGGGAGCCGTGCGCGACCACTCCGAGCGCGAGAGCCCGGGCCCGAAGGTGGGGTCGGGAGAGCGGGGGGCCCATCGCTCGCAGCTTGACAAAGCGCCGAAGACACCAACCGTGAAAATCGATGGCCAAGTGAAAGCAGCAACATACTTCGATCGACCCTGAAGCGCGGGGCGACAGCGCTAAGGGAGAAAGGGAGAGAGAGAGAGAGTGAGAGTGAGCGGCCGCACCTCATCCACCACCCAACGCAAGAAGACGACAAGTCGCAGCTCTGCGCAGGGTGGTACGACATGGCTCCATGGAACTGCGCTATCTGCTGGCACGACCAACGCCATCTGCACAATTGAGACAACGTACTCTGCGTACGCTTCACGAATGCAAAATCCAAACCCGGAGGGTGGGGGGTTCGACCCCCACCCCCTGACTTACACCAGCGTATTCAGAAGACGCTCTTTCGCAATTTGCAAGCGATCCACGGTCGAGGTCCACCAGAGCCAGCGTCTACTCGGAAAGCCCAACGCAACCAGCGCGGCGCGGTCTCCATCATGAACTCCAAGCTGGCACAGCTACCGTGCCAGAGTCCATACCCCCGAGTCTAGTCGCGCCAAGTCCGTACCCCGATAGCTTCGGTTACACGCGCGACGTAGACGCATTCGTCGAGGAGCGCCTAATTCTATCACATGCGGCAGGTTTGTGACGTGACGAGCCTGGCTCTGGATTCGGACACGACGTGGATCGTTCAATCTTAGACAGTCAGTGGCTCTTCGATCGCCAGATCGTTCCATGTTGGCGGATTCTGGACCACTGACGGCGTTAGCCTTGAACACCCACGTCGGGGTCGCCGCCACGTCAGCACGACACGAACCTACCCGTACCACGCGTGACTTGACGATGCCACAAGAATGCGAACCTCCTCGAAATCTGAAGATCTTGCAAGCCTAGGAGGACGGAACCGCCCAAGCCAAGACGCAGAGTGCACAAGGCGACGAGACGGCAAGGCGAATCCTGGTCCAGCGTGGCGCATCGACGAATAACCGAGCATGTGGAAGATAACCATGAATCACCACGAGATTAAGTGGAGGTTGAACCGCAACGAACTTAGTTTCTGGACCATCATTTGAACCCTGTTCTGGGCAACGCCGCGACAGCAACGTCCAGCCGATAGTTTCCGAAATAGAAACAAAGGCGCTCTTCGGGCGCGCGCACGCGCGCGCTGAGGTTCTAGCGAAGGCGAGGGCGCTGTCACGACAGATTGCTTCATGAAGTGGGCGGGCGAAACGCTGCAATGTAAATACATACGCATTCCCCAAAAATCTCAGAACGCGCCAGGCGCACAGCCCTTGGTCAGGCGCAACTCGGGACGAGAGACGAGAACGAGATGGGAACCGCTGCAGCGCGCAGCTCTCGGAGCAGCCGGGAGCGCAGCACAAGCCAACATCAGAACACACACTCGGCGCCTGCCAGGCGAGGAAGGTACGCGGACCCCTGGTGGCTGCCGTAGAGTGCGGGCGGGGCCGCGAGGAGCCCACGCAAGGAGCCCAGCGCTGAAAACCCGCGCGGGGACTGCACCGAAAGGGGGGGACCCAGGGCACCCGAAACGCAGCAGCTTCCTCGACGGCCGCGGGAAGTCGCCGCGCAGCGCGCGGAGCGAAGAGACCCAGGGTTCCCTGACGAGAAGCATTCGGTTTCTTGATGCGCGTCCCCACTGTAGAGAGACATGCGAAATGTCCAGGACTGGTGTAGGTGGATGTTGGGTACGAAGTGGGCCAGCATGGAGTGAGAGCCCCAGAGCGTCGACACAAAAAAACAGTCAAGACGAGCGTCTGAAGAGGGCCCCAAGACAGCCCAAGAAGGCTGCAAGAGCCCCCAAGATACCCGCAAGGGACCGAAACAAAAAGCTCCAAGGATGGCGCCAGATGAGTGGGCCACAACAGGAAGAAGAGGCGAAGAAGGAGACGGAGGAGCCGGAGGATGAGGAGGAGGAAGAGGAGGAAGAGGAGGAGCAAGAGGAGAAGGCAAGGGAATAGGATGTAGAAGCGGAAGCGGCAGAGGACGAGGAAGAGGAATCGAGGCGGAAGGCTGGGGAGAGTGGAAAGGGCAGGAGGGGAGGAGGAGGAAAAGGGAGAGGATGGGAAAGGCGGGCGACAGTATTTCCCAGATTTTTACACGCTCCGGACACGCAGTCCGCTAAGAGAGGGGGGTCCACAGGATGGTTCAGCCAGGGGGGCCAGCGACACAGCGCGTAGCCCTTTAGATAACCCTCCGAAGGCCTTGGCAGAGCTCCTGGACCCCAGGGGACAAAGTGTGGGGTACCGGGGAACGGGGGGTGCTTTGGAAAAGTTGGCCACCCTGGGCCGAGGGGCCCCGTCGTCAGCTACACTGTATACTACAACCCTCGCGCGCGCGCCCTTGGCGCGCACTCAAGCTCTAACAAAATCTGGGCCTTGCGTGTAGCGCGGAAGAAAGACCGTGGCCGAATACGTGGGATACCCTGGGTTTCAATGCCAACACGTTGGCTGCTGCAGACGCAGATTAGAGGCTCGAGCTAAGGTGAAGAGATAGCACTCATTACCACTGTCGACCCTCCCCGAACCCGCGTTCTGCACAAGCCAAGGGCAGGGATGGGAAGGGGAGAGCGGCGGGGAGAGCGGGGCAAGGGGAGGGAGGGGAGAGAAGGGCAGGGAGGAGGGACGAGGGGATAGGATTGAACAGGACTGATGATGATAACGATGACGATGACGATTGCGACGACGACGACGATGATGGTGATGGTATTCAATATTGGTGATATTGATGATGACGACGATGACGATAGCAAAGACGATGACGATGATGATGGTGATGATGATGCTGATAATGATAATGACGAGGACGATGATGATGATGCTGATGATGATGATGCTGATGCGGATGTTGATGCTGATGCTGATGATGATGCTGATGATGATGCTGATGATGATGCTGATGCTGATGCTGGTGATGATGGTGATGGTGATGGTGACGATGACGATGAGGAGGATGGTGATAATGAGAACGGTACTGATGACGATGAGGATGATGATGTCGATGGTACTGACAGTGATGGCGATGGCGGCGGTGATACTGGTGGTGATGATGAGGAGGATGCGGATGAGGATGCGGAAGATGACGGTGGTCTGATGACGAGGATCGTTAATGGCGACGATGCTCTTGGCCGGAGACTCCGCTCACCCGAGGAGGCCCGCAGGACGACCGGGCAACGGCCGCCCCCCTCGCGCGGCGACCCACGGCGCTGCGCGCCGCGGGCGGCACACGGCGGGGCACCCGGCGGGGCACCCCACCACGAGCGGCACGGGCGCTGCCGCCGGCGAGGCGGGCCGGCCGGAGAGGCCGACGATGCAAAAGGAACCTAGACAGCCAAGCCAAGCAGGGCAGGTATGAGCCAGCAGACAGCTCAGGTTCGCGTCGGGCGCTGCTTTTCTGGGGGGCGATGAATGGGGTGGTGGGGAGAAACGTGCACCCTTCGTGTCCGTCCTCGGCCCCAGCGGGGGGCCCTTTCAGGTCCCTTGAGGGCACAAGAAGGTGCACCATGCTTCACCGCCCCACTTCATCGCACCCCCCCCAGTACGCAAAGCCCGATCACGTCCAGCCCGGGTCTCCGGGAATAGATATACAACATCGTGGGTGAAGCTTTCGTCCCTGCCCTCGTCGTTACTGCTGGGTTTTGCCCCAAAATCTTGCCCGCGCTAGGGCATGGCTGGTCGGCATCGGAGGCACGAGGATGACCAAGAGGTTGAGCAGCAACTTCGCCACGCCCACGGCCCTGATATCGTTGTTTGCTACGCCGTGGGTGTGACTGCGGCTGACCGCTCGCTGACGTGACCAAGATGCACTGTGACTGTGGTGCCGGGTGTGCCGTGCCTACTGAGTGTGCCTGGAGCTGCTAGTGTCCCACTGCGCCCGCCCGCCAGCTCCAGCTGATGGCAGCCGCCCTCCCGACTCCGTTGCCACCACGGTTTGCCACGGCCGCCCATCGCGCTCTGGCCCTGCGCGCCTGGCTGCTGCTGCCCCCCCCCCCCCCGGCTGCTCATCGTCGAACTCTTCGACGTCTGAGCGTCCCTTCTTCCTCTCGGCCGTCCCTCCTCCTCCTCCGCCTCCTCCTTCTCCTCCTCCGCCCTCCTCCTCCTCCTCCTCCTCCTCCTCCTCCTCCTCCTCCTCCTCCTCCTCCTCCTCCTCCTCCTCCTCCTCCTACTCAGTGCCCCTCTTGTAGCTTCTCGCCGGGGCGGAGCTCGCCGCCCCGCCGCCGACGAAACAGGTGCCTGGAGCTGCAGGATCCTCGCCCCCATGGCTCGCGGGGCGGGGCTCCAGGCGGCAGATGCGAGGAAAGGGAGCCCTGGCCATCGCTCCGACGTCCATTCCCTGTGGTTTTTGTTCGGTTTCGTGCGTGCTTTGCGCGCCAAATGATCAAGGATGCTCCTCGATGGTCCCCGCCGGGCCCTGCGCGAGACGGCATGGCGAGCACACGCTAGGGCGCACGGGGGCCGCCAGCGTGGTGCACCGCACGAGGCAGAGGGCAGTCACGCGCGCGGGCAGCTTGCGCGCCGACGTCGGTGAAGGCAACCCCATCTTCAGAACAAAAAAACATCGCCATAACACACAAACTGTTGGCGCTCCGCGCGGATTTGTTGGATCCGCGCTGGACCCACCTCCCTGGCGCACGGAGCGCGCCAGAGGCGGCACCGCAGACGCCGCCGGGGGCGCCCAGCGCGGATCCAAGAGAGCCGCGCGGAGCGCCAAAAGTTTATGCTTACGGCAATAATTCTTCTTCGAATCGTTCTGCAACGCTCAGGCGAGGCTCGCCGAGCTGACGGGCTGCGGCCACGCGCGTGCTGCCCCCCGCCCCCCCCAGCCTTCGGCGGCCCGCCACGGAGGTTGCCGCGGCGGGGCGAGGAGCTCTGCCGGAGCGCTCCCCGGATTGACTACCTCCCAGACCACCCCAAGCTAACCCGAAGATCCCGATTTCGGGTTGGCAGGGGGTGCGGGCTTCACATGTAGAGGAAAGAGAACTATGCACATACACCGATTCTGGCCAGGCCCAACTCGGTGCATACGCCCTCTTACCTTGGCCAGGAATGTATATGCACCGCTCCTGGGTCGAGGATGGGCGTTGTCAGGATCGGTGCATGTGCGTAGCTCTCCTCGCCCGAACACACGTGCTTTCCCCGTGTCCCCCGACCACCCCCACTGTTGGGGTGGTTTGGTGGGCGGGTGGAGCTGCTGGCCTGCCACCGTGGGGCTGCGCGGTCCGCAGGGCGGCGGGCGCCGTGCTCCGCAGCCGACAGGGTCGACCTCTCTGCGAATGGTCTGCACTGCTTCGACTCGCTGGCGTCATGCTCGTGGAGCCGGCTCGCGCGATGTCAGCCGCAGGCCTGCACACCGCTCATCATCTGCTGATGGCGCGCGTAGCGAGAGCAAAGCAGCAGCAGCAGCAGCAGCAGGTGGAGGGGGGAGGGAGAACGGAGGGGAGAAGGGCTGGAGCAGGAAGGGAAACGGGGACCGGGCGGGAGGGCTCGGGCGTGGACCAAGCCAGCCCAGCGTTAACCTGGCTAAGCCAGCTTTGAAAAACGTGCGCTGCAGCTTGGGGGGGGGCTTCCCAGACCTGGCTCAGCCACTATGATTAAGTCGGGCGTGTCCCCCTACAGGAGGATTTTCGGCGAAAAATGAAAAATATGGAAAAATACACAAAAAGGTTAAATCAATACTTAAAAAATAGTCCCCAGACTATGTTTGGACTATGCTTTGACTATTTTCAGGGCATTTGTTATTTTTCGTGGAAAATCCTCCTGTGGGGGGACAGGCCCGACTTAACACTATGAGTGCCATCTCCAGGGTCGCGAAAGCGGCTCCCAAAACGGGCACAACCAAAATCCGGCGCTGCGGAACCCTGCAGTACCCGGCGCTCTGGTCGAGCCCTGCTTGCGCTGAAACCTGTTACTTCCTGGCCGACGGGCGAGGGGAGGGAGGGCACGCCACAAAAACACATAGAGAAACACCCTCCGACGAACTTCACATGTACCTTCAGGGAGGGGAGGGTGTATATCGTCGCTGGCTCTCAGTGGTGATTTATACACTGGCACCCTCCCCTGCGGGTCGCAGTCAGTAAGCACTGCGATACCACGTGATGGTGGCTGTGGCTATGTGCTTATGTGCGTTTCGTATTCAGCATCTTGCCTGCTTGCTTGCACCCTCCCCTGAGGCCCAGGAACCATCCAGTGGAGGGTGCCTTGTGTACATGTTTTGTTGAAGGAGAAAAAACCACAGAAGCATAAACTCTTGGCGCTCCGCGCGGATTTCTGGGCCCCCCACCCTGGCGCGCGGAGCGCGCCAGGTGCGGCGCCGGAGGCGCCGCCGACCGAGGGGGCCCAGGCGCGGATCAAAGAAATCCGCGCTGAGCGCCAAAAGTTTGTGTTGATGTGGTTTGCTCTTCTCGGATTTGCGGCGGGGAGGGGCCCGGCGGGACGCGCGCCCGGGCTCCTGGAGGCGGACTTCTTCTTGCGAGACCGCGAGGCGCTCTTCGCGCGCTTCTTGGCGCTCTTGGAGCGTCCCCGGGTCCTCGCGCCCCGCCCCCCCCCGCACGGGCAGGTCGGGCGGGCACTGGACGGGACGCGTGGAGGCCACACGAGCACGATGCGCGCCACCTCCGGCGCCGCACGTCCGAGCGCTGAGCACGCAGCACAGACATCTCTTGTCCGCCACCGTGTGCGGAGGCACGAGCTGTGCAGTGTCCTCGGGTCCCCCCCCCCCCCCCCGAGTTCTCTGTCTTGCGTGCTGCAAGCAGCCTGTCGGGCCCCCGGCCCACCGTTCCAAATCTTCGGGGCGCTCCTGCGCGCTCCTGAGGTTCCCCGCGCGACGTGTCCAGGATGCAGAGGGCCCCAAGACGGGCCAGGAGGGCCCCAAGAAGTGCCGCAGCACGACCAAGAGGCCTTCAAGTACGCACGAGGGCGCTCTAAGATGCCCACGATGGCCCCAAGACGGCTGAAGAGGCCCCCGAGACGCCCCGTCCTCCCAGATGGTCCCGAGATGCCAAAAGCAGGTGTGTTTGTCTCAGGCTTGTAAAGGTTTTGAACTGTTCTAACCTTTTCGGGCCCTCGACGCTCCAAAACGGCCCAAGAGGCCAAGATCGCCCCAAGAGGTCTCCAAGAGCGCTCCCAGACGGCCCACGATGGCCTTAAGACGGCCCAAGAGGTTCCGAAGACGATCCAACAATTTGACAACGCCCCAAGAAGGGCCCAAGTGGGGCCCAAGAGGGGAGACACGAACTGGCATTTCGACCCCTTCGCCCAAAGATGGCCCCCGAGAACACCAGCAGCACACCCCCCAACAAGCTCCAGAAGACCCTTAAGATGCCCAAAGCATGCCCCAAACGGTCCCTCAGAGATCCCCAAGATGACCCCAATATACCCCAAAACCGAATCCGATAGGCTTCTGAGAGGTCTCCCAAGAGATCCTCACAGGTATCCTGGAGGCCTCCGACCTACAACCCAAACAAGGTGGCTGAATGGGCCAAAGGCCACCACAATTCATCATGGGTGTCACCGGGATGTTGCCAAATCTGGCAGTCCGTCCTTTCGTTGTCCGCACGTGAATTACGGTGGTCTTGAAAATTCAGGCGTTCCTGAGACAATGCCGTAAGGGAGACAGGGCAAACATTCACCATTGCATCGCGTCACTAAGCTGTCAAGACGAAGGAACCGTTGCTAACCTCTCAAACGTGACACCGAAATGCCGCCTCGATGGCCAGGTGAGAACTGGCGGAGCAAACAATTGTCACTAAAGCTGCATGTGTCTCAGGAATGGTGTGGGCAAGCGCATGCTCATGATTGGATGGTCTTGCCTCCTCCAGCGAGGCGGGCCGAGTCGAGTTATGCACCCAACAGACCTACACGGGCCCATACTCACCTTGGGAATTCGTTGGACGTCCCGAGTGCCATCAGATGCGGCTTTTTGCAGAAGGCGTTGTTCCTGGCAGCACTGAGCTTATGTTGCGCATGATTCTGGATGGCTTCGAGAATCCACGCTCGAGTTGCAGGATGACTCTCTCATCACATGCTGCCAAGGACTTCCGACGTTCTGGAGCAACTCACCCCACCACTTGTGTGAAGAAGCGAGCGCACGATACCCAGTGGAGGCCAGCCCACAAGAAACCTTCCACAACAAACCCAACCCCGAGACCCCAGAACGCCCATGGACTTTGGTGTGGGATTCCTGGAAAAACACATCGAAACCAGAGAAACCCAGGGCACCCTGGGGACAGGCAGGGTGCTTCTTGGCATTGATCTGCACTATATCTGCATGTGCCTTCGAGTGTGCAATGCTCGGTTTGACATGCTGTCCAGGTGGAAAACCGGCCCGAGCCAGGCCGCACAGTCCTAAGAACCCAAGATTGAAGGGGCCCAGGGACACACATAAATACACGCAAATCCCAGGATCCCCCTATATTTACATATTTCCTGGAGTTTCGTCTCCCCCGCCACTCCGTACATTTTCCCATGTCTTCCTAGGGGTCGCCGATGAATTGTGCCTGTGATTTTTCCCCTCCTGAAAGATGGCCCATGGGCTCCCAGCGAGCCTCCTGGACGGCTCCGAGACAGCCCCGAGACGGGCAAAGTACCTGGACGCCCGAAAGGGGTACGGAAAACATGGCGGCCATGCCCGGCCACAAGCACCTGTCTTCCAAGACCGACAGCGGCCGCTGTTGCGCAGGCGGCCTTCTGCCTCAAGTGGCCCAGGGCCGCGGTGGCACCGAAAGCGAGCCCTGTTCAAAACGCTATCGGTCATGCTACCGGCCTTTGTGCCCCTTCATTCCGTACCCGTGTCGATCGTCCCGAGGGTACACGCGCCCATCCAAGTTTCGCACTGCACCGACCCTGCGGACGTGCTGCAGCAGACTGTGCGTGGAGTTCTGTCAGTGCAAAGCCCCGACACGGCGAGCGAAAAACGACGTGAATGTCACGTGGATGTCTTGTACTTTGCATTCCTGGCCAAAAGAACCTGCCCGACATTCACTTCGAAATCCAGAACGACATTCTCCAGGACAATCTGGGTCCATCCCATTGTTTTCCGAGCGAAATCCACACTGCGATTTTGGCGCAATGACCTTTCAGGGGAGGGGACGGGAGGGGAAAGGAGGGGAGGGGACCTCCTCCTTCCCCTCCTCTTTCTATTATCTAATCGGGGACTTACTGACCAGGGCTCGAGCTATATAAACAGTGCTTGTCGGTTTCATCTTGATATCGTTTTCCTTCGTTCTGTCTTCGTTCTGCATTGGCTGCGGAACGAAAATCAAACGAAAGCGGCCCACGAAATCGCCAGAACACCGATGAGCTCGAGCACTGCTACTGACCCAGTTCAATGCCAGCCCGGATCAGGCTTTGAGGGATCCTGCACTCAAACCCCGTGTCGGTGCACGCCTGGCTCTGCAGGAACCTACAAGCTCTGGCGCTCTGGCTGACCCCCGTTTGCATGGACCCCCGTCCCACGAGCTCCGATCTGACGGCGGCGCGCACAAGGGGGAGGTGGAGGGGGAAGGCTTCGTGGAAGGAGGCTGCCTCCTAAAAGGCACCAGCCCTACATCCACAGATAGGGCCTGCGCCTTCTAAGAAGCAGGGGCGCGTCTAAGAAGCCCTCGCCGTCGCTCGGACGCCCATTCCCCGGGCATTTTTAGGTTTCGTTGCTCCTCGATGGTCCTTGCCAAGAAAGAATGCGCACGTCCGAGCGATGCCTAGCCTAAAAGGCACAAAAAAAAGCACAGCGTGGATCCAGGAAATTCGCGCGGAGCGCCAAAAGTTTATATGTATGTGTTTCTGTTATTCGAAAGCCTACGCGCGTAGCTGGCAACCTCTGCGCAGCAGCGCGCCCCCATCGGTACACGCCGAAGGCACCTGCACCCGGAGGCGGCCAAAGGGGGGCGTCCAAGAGGGGGGGTGCAAATCATGACCGGCGGCACGTGCGCGGCCCCAGGGGAGGGCCAGGGACGTGTTGAAATAAGAAGAAGCGCCATGAAATCTGGGGAGATTCATGGCCCCCGTCATGATACCCACCCCCCGCTTGAGGAAAACACAAGGTACCGGTACCGCTACTCCCTGGACCTCTCCCGGAATGCGTTCTGACCAGGATTCCGAGGCGAATCCAGCGGTGGCGACGAGGGCCTCCGAGGAGGCCCGAAAAAGGGGGAAACTGGGAAGGGGTAGAGGTATGGGTACCTTTTCCTACCTGGACCCCTAGTCATCACCCTGAGCATTTTCTCAGGGTAGAGGGCTCAGGGTGACATCCATATGGGCTCTTCGAAGATCCGTCCGTCTTGTGATGCACCTTCTGCAAATTCAAGCCTCGAAAACCAACGAAACGGCATCTCAAATCTCACCCATTGCCCTCCACCCAAAGAAAATTAGGGAGCCACATGCGAACCCTACCCCTACCCCCCACGAGTTCTGAGGGGGAGGGTGGGGTTCACTTCGTTCGGGAGCCTTCGAGCGAAGTGAACCCCACCCTCCCCCTCAGAAATCGTGGGGGGTAGGGGTAGGGTTCGCATGTGGCCCCCTAAAAATGCTCAGATCACCCCCCCGTTTTGCCGCCGCCGGCCATCGGCACGCGCCGAAGGCACCTGCCCACCGCAGGCCACGCCGAAGGCCCGGGGCCACCAGGGGGCCCTCCTGGCCGGGGTCAGGCGGGTCGGCTCTCTCGGCTACACGTGTAAGCTTAGGACGGGTGTGTCCCCTACGGGGAAAGTCTGGGCGAGAAATGCAAAATAGTCAAAACATACTCGATACAAAGAATCAAAAATAGTCACACATTGTCTGAAATCGTCCCCATACTATTTTTCGACAATGTTTGAATGTTCCTCCTGTAGAGAGACAGGCCCGACTTAAGGCTACACGGAAGATGACGAACCAACATCGCACATCCATACGGCAGGTTCGTGAGGCGTCGGCGCGCGCACAGGTTTTCAACACCGTGTCGATCGGTCAACCTTGAATCGATCGCAGCCCCGATCGTTCAAGATTGAATTCTGTTGGATCCGGTGGCGGCTTCGTGTCTCTCGGCACTTCCGCGTCGCAGAATCCAACCTTGAACGCGTTCGCCGGCGTAGCTGGCGCGCCATCGCCGCATGAACCTGCCGTAAGATGACGAACGAACAACACGCATCCATCCCGTCCGGGCGGGGACCCCCATCCGAACACACACACACACACACACACACACATGGCCCCCCACCTGGTCCCCCCAAGAGTGACCTTTGGTGCGCGGCCTGCCAGCCGCTGCGTGCGGCACGACGGCAGCTGCC